GTTGAAAATTTTCTTATCCTGAATCAAATTACTGGGTTTTAGTTTCTATGAATTGGTGTTTTCAGGAATTTTAATTATAGTGTCTTGTGAAGTTTGTAGTAGGGCTCCTTGTGAGAATACAGATTCTTCTAGTCGCACGCTTTATTTCTATTTTAGATTTATCCAAATATTTCAGGATGATCTGATTTTTGCAGTGTCTGTAACTAGGTTGTGTAATATTTTTGTTTTTCCTTTTTACTGAGACAGGGACCGCAGAGCAAGGGATGACAACTACTCTCCACACCGATCTAGATCTATTTCCAGATCGGTCTCTCCACGCAGTGAGAGAAACCAAAGGTCTTCAAGGCGATCTAAATCCATGTCTAGATCCCCTCCTCCAAATGATGATAGAAAGCACCAGTTGAGCAAGTCCCCAAGTCCGAGTGAAAATGGCCGGAGTGCTCATGATGAGGAGTATGCACGCCGCAGATCAGAGAGTCCTAAAGTGACTGCTCGCCCCTCCAGATCTCATTCTCGATCTTACAGGTGTGTGCCATCAATTTTCAACATTTGATTGGCTGAAACAATTGTTCAAAGGAAAAATAAACTATTTGCCTAAGTTGGAATTAGCTTTTTTGTTACCCAATTGGCTCTGCGTTCTCTTCATTGGGATCCAAGGTTTGATCTGCATGTTGGAACATGGTAGATATAAGTTTTATTGTGGAGGTCTTGAGATGCTGACATGGTCTGAAAGGGTTTTAAGCCCCTGTTGTCAATTAAGAGCATGAGGAGTGCATTTTGGCAAAGTTGAGAGTAAGGACAGTCATGCTCCAACTCTGAGGCAATCGTGGCACGTGGCTTGACCTGAAATTTGCACTTGCAGTATTGAAGTATAGTCTGTCATACAAACATACATACATTAGTGTTTTGAACTATATTGTCTTTGAATTGTCATAAGGAAAAGTTAAAGGTCCATCTATCTGTCCGTGGTAGGATGCATTTGTCAGCCTTGGTTAATAGCTCAGAATCCTCTGATTTTCCCCAAAGGAAATAAACAAAGCTCAACATCCTCTTGGATGTCGTTTGGCACACTCTTATATTTTTTGGTGGGCTGCTTCTAGCCCCCCCCCCCCCCCCCCCCCCCCCCCCCCCCCCCCCCTCTTTCCTTTCTTTCTTACTAAATAAAATCAACCGACATGATTTTACTTTCAACATCAACAACTGGTAAAGAATTTCAGAAATCGTTAAACCTAATAGTTGTCTAAAATGGAGGTTATAGCAATATGTCATTGTTACTCTCTCTCTTTAGCATTTTCTTATTTGTTCTCTTACCAACTCCTAGATTATTCCAATCAGAATCATCAACTTTTCACATACAGGTCTTATTCCCATTTCTGACCATTTCAAGGGTCTGCTGTCAAATAGCAAGAAATGGCCATCTACCAAATGATTGTGCTATCTGACCCTCAAAATACAACACCACCATCGTCCTGATGGAACACAACGAACAAACGCCTGCACCAACCCCATTTTAACAAACAAAAATAGATAAAAAAAAAATGTGTCTGAGAGAAAGAGGCTGATATTTTTTTATTAATCCCTTGATACCATTCATTTTTTCTACTTCCCTATCTTAAGAGATAGACCGTTCAACAAAAAATTTGAGAAAGAGAGAGAGGGGCTAACAAATTTTTATTAATCCCATACTACCATTCATTTTTTATACTTCCCTGTTTTGAGTACCATATAGTTTAAAGACACATATCAACAGAAATCTGGAAGATAGTTATACAGAATCAGCAGCTCATGATTTTTTTTTAAAACTTCCCTAATTGTACTCTGTTCTAAACTGAGCCACATTCTAAGCCATGCTCAGTAACAAGCATGTAGTGATAGGTTCTTCAAGCTTGATCTCATTATGAAAACCTAAGTTCTCTAAGCAAACCAGTGATTTAGAAGTAGTCAACACAACCAAATAGAAAATGAAGAACAATGCTTTTATGGTTAAAAATCATACCCAAAGGGCTTGAAATGGATTTCGAACAAAAAGGAAATGGATTTGGAACAAAAAGGCAATGTGATACATTCGTTGGGTTTCCCTCCTTACATTTGCGCAGAAGAGAAATCATACACAGAACAGCGGCAATTCATGTCATTAAGGGCCTGTCAACTCTGTGACTTTGACCTGAAAATGCATTTGCCCTCTGCACATTTAATCGAATATTTACACGCACAAAACAACATATATGCACTCGATGGTGAAGCACACTCTTCCTGCATTGCTTCCAATTGCAAAGCTGTTCCACTTTGCTCTGTTAATTTGGATAAAGCAACACATGTATTTCTGTGATAAGCGGAAGAAGTGATTTTGGCAGTATAACATATTGCTTCTCATTTCCTGCTGCTATTGACGCAACACCAGAACTAGAAATAGTGGAAGAGCCCACAAGTCAGAAGAAGAAAGACCTGCAGAAGCTGCAAAATCCACATAATGATGCATCAGATCAACCCAAAAAAAGAAAATACAACTTTGTGAATGATTTTTAAGGAAGTACTTCACTAGATATGGAAAGGGAAAAAAAATGAAAGAATTTCCATTCTAGGGAAAATTCCATTAAATGTCAGTGTAGATTTATAAATGACAGAAGTTGACAAAGAACCCACAACAATTATTTGCTTCAGATCCAATCAGTATAAATATAAACCACAACTAATATTGTTATATATGTACTCACATGGAGATGGTGAAGGTGAAACTGGAGCTGTTATATAAGGAGGCTCTGCATCAAATTCACCCTTTGATGGAGGCTGAACATGAGCAAAAACTACATTCGGTAATGGACTTGATGCAGGAATTAGATGTGGAGCAGGTTCTGGCGGATTTACTTGCTGCTGTGGCGAGGGAGAAACTGTTGGTGCAACAGGAGAAACAGGATGAGAATGCCTATTTTCCTTCCTCGGGGACCTCTTTCTATACCCAAAATGGCAAGCAGGAGGTTTTGCCTCATGACTCTGCTCAGATGCAGGTGCAGGTGCAGGCATTGGTGAAGATGCAGGTGAACCTCTCTCTGTCATGGGTCCACTCTTCCCACTCCTGGGTGCAGGTGGAATTGAGGGAGCAAGATGGGTTTCATGGTCATGATGGTGGTGGTGATGATGCTGATGGTGGTGACGATGCGGCAGAGGAGCTGGAGAAGGCGACCCTGATGTTCCACTACCATTGCCACCGAGGGAGTGTTTCAGTATAGATGAAAGACGAACTTGTTTAACTTTACCGAACACGCTGTTATTGAGGCCAAGGTTTTTTTTATTGGAATTGGTGATGGTTTGAGCCAACTGCTTTAACCTTAACATTGAAGGACTAATCCCAACTGCCAAAAGAACTTGTGACTGAACAATAGTGGGAAGTGCCACTGTTGAGCCTTCTAAATTCGTCAAGCTAATATACAAGTTCTGCATTCCAGAAAAAAGTAGCAAAGTGTTTTGATTGTTATTAAAATGCTGTACACACATAGTGAATGAACTTAAGAATTTTTTAATAATTGAAAACTACTTACATAATCAACTACTCTAGTTAAAAGTATCTATCTTCAGACCCAGCAGATAGAGAATTTCAAAAGAAATGGAAAATTCCACGTTGTCTAACAATGAAGAATAAATGCATCTTTTCCCAAAATTTTCACAACCCCCTCATTGTCAAAAACTACAATACATAACACACACCCACACATGCTCTTACACAATGCATATAAAATTTGAAAAACTAGCAGATTAAAACTCGGCAACCACTACAGTTGTAGAAGAATCTCCGGCAAATAATGGAAGAAGTTAGTGACAAACAACAATAATTAGTAGTCTTATGGTGGACACTATCCACCATATCCTTCCTGCTTAACAAACTTGCATGTGCTTGGCCCAATATTTGGCCTGCACATGAGAGGAAGTATTAAGTATATTAAGTTGCATTCTCTCTAACAGTTTAAGTTTTTAAATGTGTTTGGCAGTTTATGAAAATGCTCATTTATCCACAAACTTCTTGGAAAGCTTAAACTTTTAGAGAGTATTATATAACATAGGTATTTTAAAATTCAACAAGCCCTTCACGTACTGACCCAATTTTGGGACAAACATGTGGAAGTATTATAATTATATGAGGGTAGCATCGAGCTTCAAAAGTATGACCTCCTATTGTGACACCATATTAAAGCACCAACTTGTCTAAAAACAAACAACCATCATATATCACAATAACAGATATCATTGCCAAACCTCATATGGAGAAAGCCGTAACCCTGACTTCAGCTGGCTCGTCAGTTCATAGAAATTGATTTGAATTTGATCAATAGAGAAATTCAAGGTAAAGTTGAAAAGGATCTGCACTTTTTGCATGAGAAATGCGCTCTGTAGAGGACTAACTGTAATGCCTCCTGTGAATTTGAGCACCTCAAATGAGAAAGGATCCCCAAATAAAGATGCAGTCAAGCGGAGAGATGACTGATGTATAACCAGAGATACCAAAGAGGCCCCGATTAAACTTTGGGCAGTTGGAGAGACCCTCAAATTTTTCACATCTGAATCAAATGCGAATACAACCTTTGTTATGTTTGATCCAGCTGAAGTTTCTAGGGCAATGATTTCCACCTGTCATAAACAAATAATTATGTAAGAAGAGGAAAAAAGCAAGAATATACTCAACCTAGAAAAAATGAGAGAGAGAGAGTACTTTAGTCGATGAAATGCCAATTTCATCAAAAATATCCTCCTTGAGCTGCAAAATATTGTCTTCTACAAAAGAAACTGGCTTCTCAACCGAGAAAGCTGCTACTATATCATGACCTGGAGGAATTAACTTGACAATTGTTCACGATATTCAACAACTAGATTTGAAACCAAAAGATAGAAACTTATGCTAATTTGTATAGAAATTTGTTAATTCATGTAGACCTTATAGGCATTAGAACTGTAAATCACAAATAATGTAAATCAATTCAAAAATATTACTATTTGTATAAAGAACAATAGGAGCATAAGATAAAGCAAATCACTCAAATAAAGCAATAGCACCATAAAGTCAAATCATGCACCCTACGATGGGCAAAAAAGCAGAGGCAAGTCCACACAAGTTAGAAGAATCAGCAGACACAGGAATGGTACTGTGTGTGCCTCATACATTTCACCTCTAAAGGTCTATTCTTTCACATTAGGAGTCAATCACAAGAAATTACGATTATTAATCCACAATACTCCACGTCAATTAAGAAGCTACACACAATTAGGCTCCAACCTTCCCAATTAAAGAAATAGAGAAAAAAAATAGAATAGGAGAGACAAAACAAAAATATAAGGATATTTTGCTTCTTATCATATACCACATATTTTGCTGCATAGTCGAGACATCACTTTGCTACGACCAACTCCATATCATGGCAAATCTTTCAAGTAATTTTTCTATATCAGTTTCAGGAACCTACCACCATAATTCTCCACATCCAAAAAAAATTGGGAGGGACTATGGAAGATAAGAAGGCAAACAAATCAACATTAACAGAAGCTGAATGTGAGTCATCCAAGCATAAAATCCACCAAAATTCAGCTGTAATAGATTGTATATGCTATGAAACATGTCTTTAAGCAAAAAATCAACTCTTTTAAACAATAAAAACCAGGAAATCTATAAGCAGCTACATCTTGCATATGAAAATTTTAGTATATATAAACAAACAGGTATGTCTGAGACGATCTCTTAGTACTTCTAGAACCCTCCTTATCTTATACCAATCCAAGCAACCTAGCCCTTCAAAAATTGCCAATCTAGATACCAAAGCAAGCCAATAATTAACTATTCTAGTGCTTTCAATTTTTTTTGATGAGTATACCCCTGCTTTTAATACGCACATGCTTTCTTCCCAGCTTTTGACCAGGGCAACCAAAGTCTGCCGATCCATATACTGATTTATCCCCAGCGTTATCATATATTTTTGTCTGTCAAGAGTAAAGGGATCCTGTGTACCTGAACTAGGCATTTAATTCTAGTAACACAATCCAAATGGAGAAAGTCAAAATGCCATAAAAGAGCCGTCCGTACATATTTATAGGATCAGACTGGAAAAACTGGAGATCAATGAAATCATAAAATTAACATGGAAACTGGAAAACGAAATATAGATATCGCACCCCAAAATGAAATTAAACCAGACAACCTTCAAGAGGAAAAATCACAAGCTTTCTCAAAAGTATACTACTATCCCAATTTGGGACCATCTAACCTTGAAATATAAGTGCAAAGCAACTTCCTGTTGAAATTCATGCCTAAAAATAGAGTAACAGTCCAGATAAATATATATATAGTAAATATAGACCATAATTGCTAGCAAATTTTCAAACTTCACATGAATACACATATTCAGAAACAAACAAGATTGAATTATATTTCCCAAGCATAACAAACCCATTATTACAATGTTCCAGTTGCTTATGTTACATTGGCAATAAGTACTTCCATTGACAGAAAATTCAAATCATTCAATCATCCAAATTAACTCCAATCGTCAGAAACAACCCTTAGCTCAGAATTCAAATACACAGATAAAGACATACAAGCATATAAGTAAATATATAGATCTGTTTTAACTAGACAATGTTGACACCCAGAAACCAAAAGAACCAAAAAAAAGGGATTAAAAGAGAAGATCCCACCTCCAAACTGTGAGTCCAGATCCAGATCCCTCTCATCTCCGTAGTGAAGAAATGGTGGCAACCAAAAGATAGCTGAGAGCAAGACTGCACAGCCAAGCACCAGAGCCAAGACACATCTGAACTTGATCCACCCACCAACTCTACACCGGTTCTCTGCATTTCGGTTTGTGTTCTGAGAATCAACAGTTGTGGGTAGAGCCTGCCCTTCCTCTACCTTTCCCATTGGGAATAGAAATGTGAGTTAATTGTGTTAGTCTCCATTGCTTTTTTGGGTTGCTGAGTTTGATGAGAGAGAGTCCATGGCTGATGGCTGATGGCTGATGGCTGATGGCTGATGGCTTTGCCAGAGAGGGGAAGAGAGAGAGAGAGAGAGAGAGAGAGAATTTTTTTTGCAGATATTTTAGTGTTTGTATGCATGAGTGAATTAACTTCTGCAAAACACTGTTTTTGGTAAGACAAGTTTGTTTTGTCTTTTTTTTTTTTTTTGTAGTAAAGTTTATCTTCTCAACAATGGAAGCTAAGATTAGTTGTATTGTCAACTCCTGTTTGTCACAAAAAAACAACACATGAAATTAGCTACAAAGATCTTATTATTTCAGACAACGAAACCGCCAAAAAAAACCACCAAAAGAGATAGAGAAACTCTTACTTTATTAAAATTTAAAATTAAGTAAAAATAAATGAAAAATAAGTCTTAATTATTTATTCAAACTCATACAAAATAAAAAAAGACTCAAAATTTTTATTCAAATTAAAAAAAACTCAAATTTTAAAAAATTTGATTGTCATATTTCCTCATTCATTAAAATCTTAATTTGTACCCTTTAAATTTGAGTTTCTCTTTTTTCTTAAAAATTGAGTTTGATCATTGGATTGTTTTGTATTAAATCAAACTTAGAACTCAAATATTGACTGAAATTTTAATAAAAATTTGAGTTAAAGTTGTAGATGCTCTGAGTTGACTTGGATTCGAGTACTTGTTGCATTTAAGTAGATGCTACAACAATATTTGATATTTTTCAGCTTTTGGAAAATATTTAATTGGTTTTTTAATTAATATGATAATTCTTAACAAGATTATCTTATACCTCTTTAGGTTTTTTACTTTATACTGTGCCATTTTTTTCGAATTTTACTTTTCAGTTAGTATTTTGTCCTATGTTATGTATTTATAATAAAGTTCAATGCAATAGTTTATATTTCATCATAATAGTTATTTATCGCTATACATAAAAAAAATAAAGAATTATATCCGAGATTATGAATTGATAGTTTCAAATGTTTTTCATAGTACACTGAATCTCTGAATAGTTGAGAGGTCAAAATTGAATTACAAGAAAATTGGCAAACTTCTAATAAGCCTCTTTTCACAAAAAGTTACCATTATTCACATTACAAATCTCACAATAAAAAAGACACAATTAAATTTCTCATACTGCGATTAGAGGTTCGAATGTTTAAATTTATATTGAAATTTGATGGTTGACCATTACACTACTCTAACTAAGTTAGTTTTCGAAAGGAGTAATAGACGTTCTCTCTTACCTCTACCATTTTTTTTAATAAGCAAAAAAAAAGACACCCATTAAAAAAAGAGGAGGAGGGGGGGGGGGGAGGGGAGGAAAATGGCTATATTTTAACTTGTAATTTTTTAAGTCTAGAAGAAGATGCTCAACCAACCTATAACTTTTTTCTAGAGTTTGAGTGTGGTGCCTAACAGATTGTAGGTAAACCTACACCGATGCAATAGCAAGGAATTAGGGTTAATTTGGACAAATTTAACAAAACTCAACTCGGGCTGAACACAAAGTTCTAAATATTTGAGCAAATAGTTTTAACATTTGGTTGGATTTAGGTAAAAAAAAATTAAATCGAATTAAATACAAGGAGAAATTAATAAGGGTCTTGGATTTTTGAGACCCAATTTGAACTCATTCTTAATGCACTATTTCAAGATCAATCCAAATCTTAGAAAAGTTATGTGACCCTAAAATATAATTTGAACTGAATTAAAATTTTAATTTGAGTTATGTAATTGAATATCAACTTTCATTTAAAAAAAACATCTAAGTATGTAGGGTAATTAAGTTCAAGATTGAGTTCAAGTAGTGGATTTTATAATTTGGATTAACGTCGAATTGAACTCCCAAACGCCCGTCCCAAAGGAATATCATTCCTAGATTTTCTTCTTTTATTATCAATTTGAAAAGAAATATTAAGTGAAAACTGCAGAAGTCTAAAAAAAGATCACCGACCATCACACCCATTTCATTTATTATTTCAGATCAAAAAAGTCAATTCCAAACTTTATTGGTTGATTGGCCTAATATCTTTTGGTGTCATTGGGGAGAGATTGGACTTTTTAAGGCATATGCATATTCAATCCGACCGACACACTTTAAATTCCGGATTAACGGTTTAGATTTACCATTTGTTATTTATTGTAGTTCTTTTTTTTTTAATGGTCATTTAAACAAATCTCTTCACCCGATCAAAGATAGGTTATTTACGTCAAAATTAAAATATTTATAAAAAAAAAAATTTCATGACCTGACCTCAAAAATTACTAAAATTCGAACTAAAAATATGTAAATTTGCAATTGGTCTTTGTTATTATGTGAATTACATCTTGAATTTATTCGGAAAAAAAACTAGATCTAGATCAAAAATAAAAAAGACACTTCATCATGAAGTGGTTCAATATTTTAATGGCTGATTTCTTGTGAATTGAACATTTGGCATTGCTTTCTTATCTGAAAGCGAAAGTACAGCCATGGCTGGCTGGATTGCTTGCAATGAAGTCGATGGGGGTGAGGTAAAAGGAGGCGAGGGCCAGTAATTGTATAGTGCCTAGCCGTGTCATTTTTAATTATATTAATTTTTATTTGTGTTATATTTAAATATTGTTTTAATCTAGTTGTAGTCAAATTGACATATATAATTCAAAAAATTTAAAAATTCAACATGGATCTATGTTTCTAGTCCAAATTCATTGTACATATGCCTATCATAAATTAAAAATCTACTTTATTCATATCTAAGTAAAATCAAGTCTAAAATCATTTTAATTATATGGCAATTCATTCGCTATTAAATTAAAAAATAAAAATATAAGAAAATAATATTTTCTTCATACAGTAATAGTCAATCAATTTAGCTGTGTTTAAATTGAATTATAGGCATTTGGCCTAATTCAATATATTTATGTTTATATTAACAAATTTGAGAATGGTGACATGTCGCATATAAAATGATTCATGCGCCAGTCACGGGAAATTGAATGAAAGGTCTCTGTGGTGAGGGGCGCACCGCGCACACCCGTGATCAAATTCAATTGTACAAAATGTAGTTTTATTTGTTTATTTATTTTTTTTGGCCGTGAATGTAGTTTTAATTGAAAATGGGTTTTTTCTTCATTTTTTTAGTGGATCACGAACTCTGAATTTAAGTGGATAATACATGACTTATCAAGAAGAAAAAAATATTATCTTATATTTTAGGGAGAATTACGTCTAAACTATTGAGGTTTATCACTTAATCACTCAAACATTTAACATAAAATATTAAACACATACTCCTGAAGTTTATACGAACATAACACTTAGACTCTTATCGTTAATGTCTATTAGGATATTTGATAGTAAATTACACTTAAGTCCCTTAAAAATTATAGGCGTATAATACTTAGACCCCTTAAATTTAAAATATTATATTTAGACAAAAAATACTTCAATTAAATATAAAATATAAAATATTTTAAATTTTACAATCAAATTCATATTCTATTGTATTATTTATTAAAATAAAAAATCATTTTTTTCTTAAAAATCGTAATTATTATATTACTTATTGGAATAACATTAAAAAATTAAATAAGGGATTTACGTCATTCATAATAGAACATAAATCTTACAACCAAAATTTATATTTTATTATGTCATTTATTGAAATAAAATAAAAAAATATAAATATAATTTTTTCTTAAAAAGTCATAATTAGTACACAATTAGACTATCTATTGAAATAAAATTAAAAAATCAAACAAGAGATCAAATTGTAATGAATACAATATCTTCTAACTGAATTTAAATTTTTTGTTTGGATTATTATTGCACACTTATAAATTATGAGGTCTTCTTTAAAATGAGGCATTAAATTTTTTTTGATTGGACTTGTGTTTTTATAAGAGGATTTCCAACCCAGTCTTTATTTCCTTTCTTTTCGCTATTTTAGATAGTTAAACACAAAAAATATTCTTCAACCCACTATTNGAGGCATTAAATTTTTTTTGATTGGACTTGTGTTTTTATAAGAGGATTTCCAACCCAATCTTCATTTCCTTTCTTTTCGCTATTTTAGATAGTTAAACACAAAAAATATTCTTCAACCCACTATCTATTTCTCATTTCACCCAAATGGCTTTAGCCTCTCTAAATTCTTTATCTATCTTTTTCTCTCTCTATATATGTTGTATGTCTTTTAAATTATTGGAAGTTAATGAAAATTGAGTGAAGTAATTAACTAAAATAAAGAGTATTGTTGGAGTAAATTTGTAAGNAAATATTCTTCAACCCACTATCTATTTCTCATTTCACCCAAATGGCTTTAGCCTCTCTAAATTCTTTATCTATCTTTTTCTCTCTCTATATATGTTGTATGTCTTTTAAATTATTGGAAGTTAATAAAAATTGAGTGAAGTAATTAACTAAAATAAAGAGTATTGTTGGAGTAAATTTGTAAAAGTGACTGATTAAAATAGAGAATGTAATATTTAAATATATTTTAACTAACTATTTTGGAGAGTTGACTTGGAGATGCACTTTTTTGTAAGGCTTAAATATTTATGAATATAATTTTTTTACATAGACTATTCTAAAAATTTGGGGCCTTCTTTAAAAATAGGGTCTAAAGCCCAAGTTTTTTTTGACAACACTGTTAAGCTGCCCTGTTTCTAATGTCTAAATAGTTTGAGGTGCAATGTGAAGTAATTAACTATAATTTGGGGTGCAGTGTGAAAAATGTGATTTTTTAGGGGATAATGTGAGATAAGGTCATGGATGAGAGGATCAAAGTGCAATTTGTACATTATGATTGAAACGCTGCCTATCCAGCCATTGAGCAATTTGCTTCGCACGTCTTTCTAACGAACTGAAGCTTGAAATCTAATCCTCGTCTGGAAGCATCTTTGCGCATGTCTAGTAGCAAGATGCCTTGAACTTCCCAAGCTAGTTTGCTGATTTCTTGCTGCAGCACATTAACCGACTTTTGCATATCTGATACCATAATCACTTTAGGAAAGCTCAATTCTGTGGACCTCCACACAGCTTCTTTCAGTGCTGTTGCTTTGGTCTGAGGTTGACCAAAGGTGCAATATTTACACCAGCGTCCAAAAAATTGACTCAATTATATTAAATTTTTTTAACATGTGTATATTATCGTATATAAATAATATTTAAAATAAAAATTATGTTAAATTATAAATTAATCAAATATTAAATGATTAAACATGTGATTAAAATAAGTAATGTAATATTTTTAAGAAAGAAAATATGTAGTAGATAAAAATTCAAAGTACTATATGTTTTATTATATAGATATATTAGTCATAGCCTGAATGAGATATAAAATTTGAGCATGTAAAAAATCGATCCCACTATATTAATAATTTTTCTTTCCTTTATTTATTTGATTACATCATTTAAAAAATATCGACAAAAATACATAATCCGATAAAATTTTTCAGCATGTATATACTATCGTTTATGAATAATGTTTGAAATAAAAATTATATTAAATTACAAATTAATCATATGAGACAATGGGTGATGGGATGGTTTTGAGAGAAAAATACATATGCGATAAAATTTTAAATATCTAACTGTTTTATTAAATATAATTTAAAAATTTAACAATAGTTAAGAACAAGACATCAAATTTGAAAATATACATCAAATAATGAACAAACAATTTTAACATCAACAACAATTTCAACAAAAATTATATCAAATAATCAATCAAATTCAACAATCAACCAAATTTAGCTGCGAAAAGCATAAAGAGTGAATGGTCGGAGAACCTAAAGGATTCAATATCCCACTTTATCCCAACACTCTTTGAATGATTTTCACCATTTTCATGTTAACAAAATAACTACAATAGATTAGAAGGTTTTTATCATGTATTTACTCTCCTTAAGAAAATTATGCCTCCACTATGTTACTATTGGGTTTGTGGCAAATTCCTCTAGAATTAACAAAGCCAAATAAAATTTTAAATAGCAAACTCTAAAATCCTCCCAAGAACAGAATAGAGAAACATTTTTATACAACCTTATACTCTCAAATAGCTTAAGTTTGACATTCTTCCTTTCCATATTTCATATGAAGAAGTTTTTGTTTTCTTTGAGAGTATCCTATTGTGCACATGACAAGCTGTTAATAGAGCTTCTCCCCATAGATTTGTTGGTAGTTTAGCATGCATAAGCATAATATTAATCATATCTACCAATGTTCTATTCTTTCTTTCAGCCAAACTATTTTGTTGTGGAGTGTAAGGTGCACTCATTTGATGAATCAAACCATTTTATTCACAAAAAATAGTAAATTCAATTGAAAAATATTCACCACCTTGATCACTTCGTAGGATTTTAATTTTATTTTCCAATTGATTTTCAACCAAGGTTTTATAACATTTAAACATATTAAATGCTTGATTTTTAGTTCTCATTAAATAAATATGAGTAAACCTAGAATGATCATCAATGAAAGTAATAAAAAATATATTTCCTCCTATAATTAAATGACAATTTAATTCACATATATCAGAATGCACAAGTTTAAGTGTTTCAGTTGTTCTTTCATTATTTGAAAAAGGTTTCTTAGTCATTTTTGTTTGTATGCATATTTCACATTTTTTAAAATTTTCATTTGTATATGGAATTAAACCATGCCTAGACATATACCTAATTGATCCAAAATTAACATGTGATAAACGAGCATTTNGGCACTCCAAATTTCTTGTGGGGATTTGATTGAACGACATAGATCATACAATCGATCAGACAGTGAATTCAAAATATAGCCTCTGCAACAAACTTCATCCTCTATGCGTTTCTTGCGGGTTGCTACAGTTCTTCATCTTCTTTGTCAGATGGTTCAGGAATAGTTGACAGATTTCCACTTAGTAGATACACAACACCCAATTCAATAATCAAGAAAAATAATTTATCCTTCCAGCGTGTTNAATGCTCAACTTAAACATGCCATCACATGAATACCCTTGTCCAACAAAGACACCATTATTAGAAAATATAATTTTTTCTGCCTCTAAGACAACCTTCAAGCTCTTTTGCACATCAAACTTGCAGATATCAGATTCTTTCTCACATCAGGAACATGAAATACATTCATTACGATTAGTTTCTTTCTAGAGATAAATTACAGTTCAACAGTCCCTTTTTCATGCACCTTGGTAGTATCATAATTCCCCATCAGAACACTTTCATCATTCGATGCAACTTTATAGTTCTTGAACATATTTTTGTCATTACAAACATGCACTGTTGCACCAGAATCATACCACCAATCTGCAGTCTTGTTAGTTGTTGCAAAGTTGCATTATGTAATCATGCTGATTTTAAGTCCAACAACCATAGCTATAATTTCAGAAGGACTTGGAGGTCGTTCAACAATATTGGCCTTCTTTTGTCCAGTGCTTGCCTCTGTCTTCAATTTCTTATAGAACCTGCACTCTTTTTTGAAATGACCATTCTTGCCACAGAAAAAACATGTTTTGTTCTTCTGAAAGTTGACAGAATTATTACTTGAAGATTCAACATGCTTCCTTTTATTTCCAGAAGTATTACCCGTTTTTGCTAGTTTTTTTGTATTAGACTCAATATTTTTTATTTTAGAACCAAACTCTGAAGCATTTTTATTCTCACGACTGCGAGTTTCCTCTTCTATTTGGATATGCTTTATGAGTTGGTCTATGATGAAATCTTTAGAAATGTGTAACAATTTCTTTTGATAATCGTTCCAAGTAGTAGACAATTTTGCAATTACCGTAGGCACTTAAAGTTGTTCAGACATTTCTATTTTAAAATTCTTGAGCCTAGATACTAGGACAAGCAATTCATGTACTTGTTCCATGATAGATTTATTATCAAACATTTTGTATTCAAAAAATTTCATACCGAGAAATATATCCGTATCTTGCTTGACAGATGTATATTTCTTCTCTAGGACACTCCAAATTTCTTGTGGGGATTTGATTGAACGACATAGATCATACAATCGATCAGACAGTGAATTCAAAATATAGCCTCTGCAACAAACTTCATCCTCTATGCGTTTCTTGCGGGTTGCTACAGTTCTTCATCTTCTTTGTCAGATGGTTCAGGAATAGTTGACAGATTTCCACTTAGTAGATACACAACACCCAATTCAATAATCAAGAAAAATAATTTATCCTTCCAGCGTGTTAAGTTCGTTCCATCAAAACGATCCAACTTGAACACTTCGGGATTGAACTTGAAAACAGAATTCGAACCAGTAATCGAACCAGTAGCCTCCATTGTTGTTTAATATCCTTAAGATTGTTAGCAAAATAACTATAATAGATTAGAAGGCTTTGATCATGTATTCACTCTCCTTAAGAAAATTATACCCCCACTAAGTTGTTGCTGGGTTTGTGGTAAATTCCTCTATGATTAACAAAGCCAAATAAAATTTTAAATAANAGAAGGCTTTGATCATGTATTCACTCTCCTTAAGAAAATTATACCCCCACTAAGTTGCTGCTGGGTTTGTGGTAAATTCCTCTACGATTAACAAAGCCAAATAGAATTTTAAATAGCAAACTCTAAAATCCTTCCAAGAACAGAATAGAAAAACATTTTTGTATATTTTTATTGAAGGATTTGTACAAGTATTTATAATACCTTAGAAATGTAAAGAAGATACACAACTTTGGGCTAAGAGACATGTAGCAGTTAATTAACTGCTTAATTAATACAAATTATTAATAGGTTTCAAGCCCAAGATGTCCCAAGTGCCCAAGTGCCCATCTTTTGAATTTAAATATTATTTTATTTAAAGTCTAATTTAGGCACATTGATTTGAAATATTTAGAACTTCCCTCCAAATCTTCTCACCATCCAAATTTATAAAATTTGGTGTGTTTCTTATTTTGAACTCTTACACTCCCTTTCAATTTTCCAATTTGGATATTTTTACATTACTAACTATTTTTAACATTTCATACCTTTGCAAAGAGGGAGAGTTAGGCAACAACTGCAAAATTCAAGAGATGTTATATGTTTCTCAAAACAAAAATATATCCGACATAATTAATGGTAATGAGGCAGCAAACCAACCATCAGTATGTACACAAAAAATAAGCAATCATTACCGTTTAGAAGAAATCAAAATCACCTAAAGCACCAATTGTAGTGTTCTTACAGCCATAGCACTAAAATAGATTATAAACCCCCAAAAAAAAAACCGCCTAAGCTCTGAAGCTCTTTGAGAAAATTCATCGCAGTTAGTAAAACTACCATCATACATTCTAGAGGAAACCAAGTAAAATTCTTGAATCAAGATAACAACACAAGAACCAAAAAGGACATATACCTTGACAGTAAATGCAGAAATTGAACAATACCTTGATAGTACCAATATTTGAATATTTGTGATTTTCAAGGAACCAAAGAGTATCACATACTGGAAGATCACAGTGGGTCAATTTGTCGAATAAGAGGCCCCTTAAGTCTCTGAAAAATTTCGACAAACATATGGAGAGAGACAAAGGCGCTAACCTGGGTTAGGTGATCATCACCGGTGAGTTCGGCGGTTGTGGGTTGAGTCATGGCTATCTCTGTAGGGAGTGTAGAGAGAGAGAGAGAGAGAGGTCGCTAGCTACGTCCAACTGAGAGAGATTAGAATTAAAAATCGTGTTTTAATTTGGAAAAAACCGTGTATTAGGTTCAATGGAAAAAAATAAGGCATAACCGTATATTTTAATTTGAAACAAATATTTAGGAGGGGAAATAAAAAGATTTGAGGGATATATTCGGGGATAGAGATTGAGCTTTATTTGAAAAAATTAGAGTAATAGTAGGCGGATTGGTAGTAATTAGAAATATGATCTTATGGACGAGAAAAAATATTTGAAGACTCATTGTTGTTCGTCGAATCAATAAATTTGAGATGATTTAAACCGTTTTTTATATTGAGATTGCGTGGTCTATTGAATGATCCTTTATTTTATCTTAAAATGATTTGAACCGTGTTTTGTATCTGAAATTTAAAACTCTACCTACTTTATTTTATACTAGACATTGTCCGTGTCTTAAAGCACTATGTAACAAAAAAAAAACCGCAAACAATTGTTTTTGTTGTATGACAAAAAAATAACCAATTAGAAAAAATGGGAAAAAATTTCAATCAAAATGGACTAATTATTTTGTTTTTAAATTGGCATAGTTATCTCTAAAATCATGACCCTTGAATAATATCAAAATCCTTCCAGCAAAACCAAAAAACAATGTAATTTATTACAGTAAAATTTATCAAATCAAGCTATAGTGTATCAAAATCTAGAATGGGTAGTATCTACGTCTAATTTTTTTTATCCAAGGCAAATAGTGCGTATCATTTTATTAAGTAGGAAAATTCGAACTACAATCAGTTGTAATAAAAGCCTTAAGCTCTAGGGGTGGAGACCTAACCCATCCTCGCGGGAGTGAGTTATGCATCATAACAGTTGCCACCCAATGAACATCCTTTAAGTTGGTTCTAGGCTTGTGTAAAAAACTAATCTTGTGTAATCTAGCCAAGCATCTAATGTCATCCATTACAATGTTGATTTCCCATGGGGGAACATTCTCTGTGGCAATCAGCTTAAAGGCATTAAGGTAGTCATTTACAATTGTAGCATTCATCAATGAGTTTGCTTTAACCAAGAAACAGGCATGTCCGATCGCCTCTGCTTCTACATACAGGCTTGAAGTGGCAAAAAAGGATTTTGAAGCACCATCCATTAGACCTCCCTTGGAGTTTAAGAAGAGAACAACACAAGAGGCTTCGTTGGTTTTAGATTTAAAAGCTCCATCACAACAAATAAAGAACTCAGAACTCAACAGTTGCATTGTCTCCTCATTATCCATAGGCTTATACTGACTCCTTTTGCCTCGCATATCCTCCATGTTGATAAGCTCGTTCCGTAAGCCTTTAACTCTCAGCACATTGCAAGTATCAGGGGTCTCATTGTTGAAGATTTTCTGATTCCTTGCTTTCCATATGATCCATCTCACTGTCGCCATCATTCCCAATACTTCATATCTCCTTTGAGGCTCTCTAACTGCGTCCAGAATCTAGGAGGTTCATTGGGCAATAGACATGAAACCAGCCTGCTCCACATTGAAAACCATCTCCATTCCAAACCACACTCTCTTGGTCCATTCTCATTCAAATAATAAGTGTTCTATTAATTCTGGGGCAAGCAAATAGATTTTGCATTCAGGCAATGTAGCACACTTCCTCTCATAGAGGTTCTCTTGAGATGCTAGTATATTATGGCATGCTTTCCACCAAAAATGTTTCACCTTAGGCACTTCCTTCATGTTCCATATTGCCTACCACATCTTTGGATGGGGGGAAAAGGAGGAGCTTGTCTCTCTGGAAAAGGATTCCCTAGCAGTCCCCAGCTTGTATCATGATTTCACCGAGTATTCGCCCTTATAATCAGGCCACTAAATCCTCTTATCCCTACCTCCTTTTATTGGGATTGGAATAGACTGAATGGCTCTCATTTCATCCATAGAGACATTATCCTGGAGTGATTGGACATTCCATTCTAATGGTCTCTCTTTTATAACATCAGCAACTTGGTTGATCAAGCAATCTTGTGGTCTTGGAGATTGCACTCCCAAATTAGCTAACTGAGGAATCCATTTGTCATCCCAGAAGTTGACCTCCTTACCATCTCTGATATGCCACATTATACCTCTTTCAAGTAACTTTCTCCCATGGAGTAGTCTAGTCCAAATTCATGAGGGTCTAGCCCCTTGTTTGGCTTTCATAAAATTCTCATTTGGGAAGTAGATGGCTTTGATAAACTTTGCCTCGACAACATCTAGGTGGTTATGGAGCCTCAAGCACTGTTTAGCTAATAAGGCTTGATTAAACAAATTGAACTCTTTGAAACCCATTCCTCTGATATCTTTTGGCTCCACCATCCTATCCTAACTCTTCCTGCAAATTCCACTTCTTCCCTCCCTTTTTTTTCACCAGAATTTCCTTATATATCCATTTAGTTGATGAAAAAACCTTTTTGGGAGTTCCACCACTGACATAATGTAATTTGGAATGGCTTGAATAACCGCCTTAATTAGTATCTCATTTTCTGCTTGTGATTGCAAGATGCTTCTCCTGCCTTGTAACTTCTTCATAACACTCTCCAGAATGTATCCAAAGGTTTCCTTCCTCAAGTTGTTCCATGCTGTAGGGATCCCCAGATATTTTGCATTGTGTGGGAGGCTTTGCATTCCCAACAGGTTTTTTGTTCTAATGAAGTGTTGGAAGAGAAATGATGCTAGATTTTTGGTGATTAATACTCTGTCCTGATGCAACACAATATCTGTGAAGAATTTTGAGAAGCTTCTTGNCTTTGCATTCCCAACAGGTTTTTTGTTCTAATGAAGTGTTGGAAGAGAAATGATGCTTGATTTTTGGTGATTAATACTCTGTCCTGATGCAACACAATATCTGTGAAGAATTTTGAGAAGCTTCTTGACCCCATCATCCTTTGCCTTGATGAAAAACAGTGAGTCGTCTGCAAAAAAATAGGTGGGAAATAGCAGGACTCGTTCTCGTTACTTTTATTCCCATAAACTTCCTATCTATAGTGCCTTTGCTTAGCATTAGAGAAAGAACATCAACAACAATGAAAAAGAGGTACGGGGAGATAGGGTCACCTTGTCTGATCCCCTTTGAGGTTTGATATCACATTTTCTTTCACCGTTAAGAATCACTTTGAGAGACATAGTTCTGACACATTGCATCACAAGGTTCACCCAACGGCAAAAGAATCCCATTTTTAGCATGGTTGCTTCCAAGAAATCCCATTCAACACGGTCATATACTTTACTGATATCCATTTTGATCGCTATTTCAGGCACCCTTCCTTTTTTCTTGCCTTTCAAGTGATGGAAGACTTCATTTGCTATCATAATGCTATCCTGGATCTGTCTATTCAGGATGAAAGCCGCTTGATTTGGAGAGATTATATGGCCTATGATCCCTTTCATACTGTTTGCCAAGACCTTCGAGATAACATTGTACAGAAAATTGCAAAGAGCAATGGGCCTGAATTGTGATAATTCCTCTGGGGCATTTTCCTTTGGTATAAGAACAATATTAGTTGAGTTGAGCTCCTCCAATAATAACCCTTCATCAAAAAAATTTCTCACCAACTTGACTACGTCATGTCCCACGATGTGCCAAAAGGTCTGATAGAATACCCTAGGGAAGCCATTTGGGCCGGGGGCTTTGAAGGCTACCAATTGGCTTACTGACTCATACACTTCCTTGTTAGTAATGGGAATCAATAGGTTCTAGTTCATCTCCTCCGTCACCCTGTTTTGCACTACAGTCAAAGTCTCATCAAAGTCTCTCTCCCTAGTTGTGGTAAATAGCTTTTGGAAGTAATTCTCAATGAGGCCACTAATCTCATCCCCCTTTTCCACCCATTCTGTATCTTCATTCATGAGCTTGACGATCTAGTATCCTTGTCACCTTTGGATAGTAGATAGATGAAAAAAATCTGGTATTATGGTCTCTTTCTTTCAACCAGTTGATCTTAGATCTTTGCAACAAAAATTTCTCTTCTCTGCTTATAATTCCATCTAGTTGGGAGCATAACTCCATTTCCTTCCTTAGGTTTTCCTCTGATGGAGTCCGCATTTAGACATTGACAAGTTCATTCTTTAGCTCCTATAATAATTTCTTATTGTTGCCAAACTTCTGTTTACTCCAATCAACAAGACTGGAACCGCATCTTCTCAGCCTATTGACAGTGTCATTCATGGTGGAGGTTGTGGCCTGTCTGTTCCAGGCTTCCTTCACCACCTCCTTGTTGTCTGAGTCCTCCAACCACATGTACTCAAACTTGAAATAATGAGGGACTCTTCTTTTTTCCAGTCCAAGATTGATGATGATTGGGCAGTGATCTGACCCCACTGTAGCTTCATGCAACACTTATGTGGCTGGGAAGAGGGTTAGCCGGTCGATATTAACTAACACAATATCTAGTTGTTCCTGAACATTGGCAGCCCTAGGTCTGTTATTGGACCATGTGAATTTTGGTCCTTTAAAACTTGTATCCACAAAGTTACAATCCGAGATAACCTGTTGTGGTTCTTCCATCTTCTTGGAGTTGCTAGCTGTTCCTCCCTCTTTCTCATCCAAAGAGCCAATGACATTGAAGTCACCAACGACCATCCATGCCCCTGAAATGGAACTAGCCATTGCCTTAATACTTTGCCACAACCTTTACCTTTTCTCATAAACTGTATCTGCATAGATAAAGGAACACTTCCACTCCCCTGGTACTTGATAGTAGCTGCAGCTGATGTCAATCATATGCTTATTCTTGGAGATCACTTGAAGGTTTACCTCCTTTGTCCACCACAGAGCCAAGCCACCTGAAAGTTCCACTGGTTCAACGTACTCACTTTTGTGAAAATTTATAGATCTTCTCAATCATTCTAACTTTGGCGACTTGTTCTTTGTCTCCATTAAGAAGAAAATTGAGGGACGATGGGAATCAATTATCTGGACTATCCAGGCTTGTCCCACTCCTTGACAGTTCCATGTGAGGACTAACATGGACCATGTGGATGTTTAAGGTTAGCCGCCACCACCTTATCTGATTGACTTTCTGGTACCTTCTTATCTGATTCAGCATTGGGAGACTGAGAGATCCATTGGGACATGCAGTGATTGAGGTCATTTTTTCCTTCCCCCTGCCTATGCATATTTCCATTCTCCTCATGGGCTTGTTGTTGTTGCTCCTCCCATTCCTCCATGTATTAAAAGTATAACTCAGAATGGGTTTTCCTGTTTGCTCCCCTGTTTTTCTTGGCTTCGTTCCTTCTAGGCTGGTTTCTGGTTGCCTTCATCTCCCCCAATTTAGGGAGGGACATATGTAGGTCCATTTGATAGCCCAACTGGGGGAGAGTTCGTGGAAAAACCCCTGGCCCATTTTTTGGGGTTACTTTGCTCTTTTTCCTTTCCATAGACTAGTCCTCCAGCTGAGAGAAGTCTGCCTAGGCTGTCCTTGTTAAGGACATATTTTGAAAGTGGACTTCCATATCTTCACCCTTCTCCTCAGCACTACTATCTAAAATTATGTGGATCTCCTTCCCTTTGGACTCTTGGACCTCCATATTCTCAGTGGGCTCAATACGTAATAGGATCTTTTCTATACGGCTACAAACATTTGTGAATCATCATGCGATCCAGGTGAAGAGAGGGGCAAACTGAAATCCCATTCTTGGTCCCCACCACAGTAAGGGACCACTGAGAGGAGTGGGACGTGGTTTTGGGTTCCACTTATCTGAGACTGTGATCCTCGTACAATATACATACGTTGGGGACTCGACGCATCCCCTCTGCACTTGTTATGGTTGTCAGGAGCTTTTGTAGTTAAAGCCTTACTGCTTTCAGGGCCCTCTTTCACCGCCATTTCAGTTTCTTCTCCGATCATTTGCACCTTTCCTTTGAGTTTCTCTCTTCTTTCTAAGTTCTCTCTCATCTTTAGGCACCAGGTGTCCCTAAAAAATCCTGCTAAATGACTACTTTGTGCTCGCAACTCTGGACCAAATTGACTGTTGGAGCCCCAGATGTGTTTATTCTTGCATTGGCTTTGAGAGTGGCCAATTCGACCACACTGGTAGCAAAAATCAATGAGCCTCTCATATTTCAAATTAATCCAGATGTCGTCTTGATTTTCACGAGTCAAGAAGAAGCCCATCTTCAATGGGTCATTCAGATTGATTCTGTATTTAACCCTCAAGAAACTACTTTGAATTTGGACTTCACCATCAAACTCCTCTAACTAGGTTGGTTCGCCAACAACCGTGCCTATTCTCCAGGCATTGTTCTTGGTCATCATACCCAAGGGTAACCCCCAAACCTACACCCAAAACTCTACCATTTGGAACTCAAATTCAATTATTATGCGCTGTGGTTGATGCTTCTTCAACACTAACAAAGCTCCCGAGACTGAACATGGCCCTTCATTCAAAATTTTATCCCTGTC